CCAAGGTCTTGAGACACGAACCTCATATGTCAAAGTTTCCACGTGTTTTATAGACTCATGCTTTACCACTGCACCACCATTTAACTCCCTCTTTTGCCTATTTTCTAGTTGAATTTTAACTGTTAAATTTTGAGGGTTCTTTATATATCTTAGACTATCATTTATCATGCGTGTGGTTGGCAAATATTCTTTCCCAGTCTGTAGCTCATCTTTTCATCCCTTTAACAGGGCATTTGCAGAAACAGGGTTTCTTTTAAGGATTTTTTTTTTTTTAGAGGTTTTTGCTATAGGGTACGTGCACTCGCCAGACAGACAGAGACACAGAGAGACAGAAAACGAGAAATCACCCCCCAGGGGGAATGGCCACGCCGCAATCCCTTTTCCTCCATTCTCCTCTCGGGATCTTGGGCACGCACGCACACGCATCCGGCATGAGTTTAAGTCACCGGGTCCGGGACGCGAACTGCGGTCGACTACATGGGAGTCCAATGACATAGCCATTACGCTAACTGCTGGTCCCAGAAGCAGGGTTTCTTGATGAAGAAAAACTTTGACAATATTTTCTCTTATGATTCATGTTTTTGGTGTCAGGTCTAAGAACTCTTTGCCTAGCCACAGATCCCCAAAGATTTTCTCCCATTTTCGCCCCCAAATTTTATAGTTTTACATTTTACATTAAGCCCATCATCTATTTTAGCTAATTTTTGTATAACGTGTGAAGTTTAGTTAACAGTTCATTCTTTTGCTTATGGATACCCAGTTGTTCCAGTACCTCTGAAAAGACTAGTAATACCTTTTCCCCCCATTGACTTGCTTTTTGCATCTTTGTCAAAAACCAGTTGGGCATATTTGTGTGGCTCTACCTCAGGTTTTCTATTCTGTTCTGTTGATCTATTTTCCTTCAGCCAATAACACAGTTTTAATTACTGTAGCTATAAAATAAGCCTTTCAATAAGGTGGATTGATTCTTCTCATTCTATTCTTCTTTTAAAAATGTTTTAGTTATTCTAGTTCCTTTGCCTTTCCAAATAAATTTTAGAATTATCTCGTCTATATCTACAAAACATTTAACAGGGATTTTATTGAAAATTGTGTTAATCCTGTATGTCAGCCTGGGCAGGATTAACATTATCCTGTTGTCTTCCAACCCATGAACATACTTTGTTGCTCCATGTATTTAGAACTTTGGGTTCTTTCATCAGCACGTTGTAGTTTTTAGCATACAAGTGCTATCTGTGTCTTGTTAGGTTTATACCTAAGTGATTCATTTCATTTTTGAATGAGTGTAAATGGTATTCTATTATTAATTCAGGGTGTCCACATGTTTCTTGCGTAGGAACATAATTTATTTTTGTGTAACTGCTGACCTCACTTAGTTCTATGAGATTTGTGGAGATTTTTCTTTTGGTAAGTCCTTTAGGCATTTCCATTTGCAAATAGAAAATATTTTATTCTTTCTTTTTTGATCTGTACAATGTTTATTTCTTTTTTTTGACTTATTTTACTGGTTAAAACTTACAGAATTCTGTTGAATAAGAGTAGTTAGAATGGACAACCTTGCATTGTTCCTGATCTTAACGGGAATATATTCGGTGTTTTACCACTAAGTATATTACTTGTAGTTTTTTTTTTATTTTTTAATTTTTTGTTTTAATTTGCTCTTCATCAAGTAGAGGAATTTCTTCTCTATCCTTATATTCCTGAGAGTTTTCATCATGAATGGACATTGCATGTTGCCATATTTTTATATTTATTAATACAATCATACGAGTTTTCTTCTTTAGCCTGTTAATATAAATGATGTTGACTATTTTTTGAATACTGAACCAGCCTTGCATCCCTGGAATAAATCTTACTTGGTCATAGAGTATAATTTTTTTATATTGCTAATTTCTATATTTTTCTAAGGGTCTTTTGCATCTATTGTCATAGGGGATATTGATCTGTAGTCTTTTAATTTGTTTTATACTTTCTTTGTCTGGTTTTGGCAGTAGGATAATATTAACTTTATAAATTACATTTGAAGTATATCTTCCTCTTTTATTTTCTGGAAGGAATTGTATGGTATTGGTGTTAATTCTTAATTAAAAGGTTAGTAAAATTATCCAGTGAAATCACCTGGATTTAGAGATTTATTTTCTGAGAGTTTTAACTTAAATATGTAATTTCCCTAGTTGTTATGGGCTATTCAAATGATCTATTTTATATTGAGTCAATTATGGTAGTTTATATTTTATAAGGAATTAATTCATTTTATCTAAGTTCTCAGGTTTATGCTTGTAGAGTTGTTTATCCTTATTATTAGGTTGTTGGAAATTCATGATGTATTTTTCTATGCAAAAGATGCATCATGACAACCCAATATTTTTATGTTTTAATACTATAGGTATACCACTGTTTCATTACTGGTGACGGTAATTTGTATCTGCTCTATTTTTTTCCTTTGTTAGTACTTCTAGAGGTTTATCAATTGCATTGATATTTTCAAATAACCAGTTCTTAATTTCATTGTTTTCCCCCTATTTTGTGTTTGTTTTCTATTTTTTGACTTGTGACCCTATCTTTATTATTTCCTTCCTTTTATTTGTTTTGAATTTATTTTGTTTCTGTTTTGCTTTTTTTCCCTAATTTCTTCAGGTGGGATCTTATTTATTTGAGAATTTCTCCTTCTGTGGTATATGCATTTACTTTTCTTTCAGCATTGCTTTTACTATATCCTACAGGTTTTGTTATGTTGTTTTTACATTTTCATTCAATTCCATGTTTTAGTTCTCTTAAGAGTTCCTCTTTGACCTACAGATTATTTAGAAGTATGCTGTTAATTTCTAAGTGTTTGAAGATTTTTCTGTTATTTTTCTGGTATTAATTTCTAATTTGATTAGAATTGTGTGCATGTGCCAGAATGCTGATGGGAAGAAATGGAAGAGGAAAAGGAGTATGACATGAACGGGCGCCTTAGGGAGGTACTTTCTGCTTTTCTCTCCATTTCACTTGACTTCATAAATCATGAATGGTTGGAGAACACATTCTATGGGATTTCAATTTTAAATCTGTCAGAGTTTGTTTTATATCCCAGGATGTGGCTTATCTTGGCATATGTTTTATGGACACTTGAATGTTTATTTTTATTTTGTTGGGTTGATTGTTCTATAAATGTCAATTAGTTAATGTTTTTAGTTTTCTATATCTTTGCTTAGTTTTGTCTATGAGTTCTATCCCTTGTTGAGAGTCTTGAAGTCATCAACTCTGAGGATTTGTCTACCTCTTCTTTTAGTTCTATCAGTTTTTCCTGCACATATTTTACAACTCTGTTGTTTAGTGCATACTCATTTAGAATTGGTATATCTTTTTGGTGGATAAACCATTTTATTGTTGTATAATGTTCCACTCTGTCTCTGGTAATTTTCTTTACTCTGGAGTGTGTCTCATCTGATACTAATAAAACAATTCCTGATTTCTTTTTTTTTTTATTTGAATGAAATGTATTTTTCCACTCTTCAACTTTCAATCTACCAATGTCACTATTTTAAGTGAGTTTCTTATAGGTAGCATATAGTTGGGTCATTAAAAAATATATTTCATTCTGCCAGTCTATTAACCGGTATAGTTACTAGTAGTATATTTAATATAGTTATTGACATTTTTAGGATAATACAAATATTTTTATTTGTACTATGCTTTCTTGTTTCTGCCTTTCTCATAATAACCTGAACATGTCTTAGAATTCTATTTTGATTCATCTGTGGTGTGTCTTCCTTTCTTTTTTTAATGCCAGATGACACGTGCATGCACTAGAGAAAGACAGAGAGAAAAGCAGAAAGTACCTCCCTAAGGGGCCCGTTCATGTCACAGTCCTTTTCCTCTTCCATTTCTTCTTCCCATCAGCATTCTGGCGCATGCACACACATGCCTAGCATGGTTGTCAAGCTGCTGGGGCTTGGACTGGAATCAGTCAGTGAGACAGGATCCAGCTTTCTCTACACAGTGCTCAATCGCTGTGCTATATGGCTTGTCCAATCTTAGTGTTTCCAGGTGTATCTTTAATATAGCTTTTTAATGGATGCTCTAGGTATGATACCGTGCTATATGGCTTGTCCAATCTTAGTGTTTCTAGGTGTATCTTTTAATATAGCTTTTTAGTGGATGCTCTAGGTATGATACTGTATATGCATTACTTATCACAATCTATTAGGATCATTATTTATTAAGTCTAGTGACATGGAGAAATTTTACCTCCTTTTATATCTCTTTACCTTCTTTCATTTATAATAGTTACCCTACATCCAGTTAGAATCACATTAGACGGTATTATAAGTTTTTTGTTTCAACCCTCCCATGTAACGTAGACTTAAAGAAAGAAGGAAAGCATATTCTGTTAACCCATATTTTTTGTTATCATGTTCTTTTGTTCTTTCTTCTTCTGTTTTGTTGAAGAATCTTTCTTTATTGGTTCCTTTTGTTTAGTAAACTTCCTTTAATTCTTTTAGGGTAGGTCTGCTGACAACAAATCAGTTTTCTTTTTTTAATTAGTTGAGAAAGTCTTAATTTCCCCTTCATATCTAAAGTATATTTCTACCAGATATAGAATTTTAGGTTGTTATGTCTTTTCTTCCAGTACTTGAGAAATGTCCTACCATTCCCTTCTTTCCTCCATAATTTCTGATGAGAAATCTGATATTCAACACATTTAGGCTGCTCACTCTCACATGGAAGCGGTTCATGTCAACATGGGTACTAGGCCACAAGTTCTCTGAGTCTAAAGTCTCAGCTTCAACCAAATAACTTGACCATTATTTTCCATTCTATAAGTTAGAAAACTTATCATTAAATGTAATACAACAGAAAGAGGTATCAAATAATTTTCAGCTCAAGTTTCAAAGAAAACCCAGTTATTTCTCCCCGTTTCATTAAACCCTAGAAAGATGCAATCAGTGAGAGTAAGAAAAATGAAAATGCACAAAGTAACTTTTTGGATCTGTTGTTGTTTTTTTTTCATCCAGAGTGAAGAAAAAAAAATGTCCTTGCTTCCATTCACCTTCAGGCCAGAAATGGAACCAAATGACACCTTCAGCAATAACAACAGCAATGGGAACTGCACAATTGAAAACTTCAAGAGAGAATTTTATCCGATCGTATACCTGATTATATTTATATGGGGAGCCTTGGGAAATGGCTTTTCCATATATGTTTTTCTTCAGCCTTACAAGAGGTCCACCTCTGTCAATGTTTTCATGCTAAACCTGGCCATTTCAGATCTCCTGTTCATAAGCACACTACCTTTCAGGGCTGACTATTACCTCAGAGGCTCTAATTGGATATTTGGGGACCTGACCTGCAGGATCATGTCTTATTCCTTGTATGTCAACATGTATGGCAGCATTTATTTCTTGACTGTGCTGAGCATTGTGCGTTTTCTGGCAACTGTCCACCCTTTCAGACACCTCCATGTTGCCAGTATCAAGAGTGCCTGGATCCTGTGTGGGAGCATATGGATCTTTATCATGGCTTCTTCAGTGATGCTTCTGAAAAGCGGTTCTGAGCCCAAGGGCAACATGACAGCATGCTTAGAGCTGAATCCCAAGAAAATTACTAAACTGCTGATCATGAACCACATTGCGTTGGTGGTGGGTTTCCTGCTGCCCTTCTGCACACTCAGTATCTGTTACCTGCTGATCATTAGAGTTCTGTTAAAAGTGGAGGTGCCAGAATCAGGGCTGCGGGTTTCTCACAGGAAGGCCCTGATCACTGTCATCATTGCCTTGATCTTATTCCTCTTGTGTTTCCTGCCCTATCACATACTTAGGACCCTCCATCTGGTCACATGGGAATTCGGTAAATGCAAAAAGAACCTGCAGAAAGCTGTCGTCATCACCCTAGCCTTGGCAGCCTCCAATAGCTGCCTCAATCCTTTCCTCTATTACTTTGCCGGGGAGAACTTTAAAGACAGGTTACGATCTGCATTCAGAAAAGGTCATCCACAGAAGGCGAAGACAAAAGGCAACTTTGCTATTTGTGTGCAGTCAAAAAAGAAAGTAAGAATGGAAGGGGTTATTAGGTGAGGCTTATTCTATATCCTTGCAGCCACCTCCATTAGTTCAGTTTCCAAGTGTCTTACATGTATACTGTTCCCATCAAAGGTCCATTCCCAATCTTTACTAGACCATGGGTCTTATTAATAGGACCTACTTTAGTAATTTCATTAGGTGTATTTTCCGTAGTTGAGCTTAAATGAGAGATGTGGGAAGAAAACTCCCTACTAGAATCTTACACACCAAAATAACAGATTGGGAAAAAATGCCAAGCACAGTGGGTCTTTTCTTTTTGTTTTGTTTTCTGGGAAAGCGTTCATTTACATCATTAGATTCTATACCAGATTTGGCCCATCAGCTATTCTAAATTCTTAACTTTCAGGTAGCCCAAATTCTCCAACTTTCCCAGCCCCCCCCCCTTTTTTTTCATCACCTGCAATATAGCCATTTAAAAAGTTTTCAGAAGCCCCAGAACAGATAAGAAGCACATCCTAAGAATTCAGAAAAAAGACAGTAACGAGGGAAACTTCCTTTTCAAAGCAGGGGCAAGGTCTCCAACAAAGACAGCGAGAGAAGAGGGGAGAGACATATTGAAGCAAGAACAAGCTGATGATAAGTAGAACGAAGTGGGAATTTTATTTTGCTCTATGAGATTGTCTTTAGCAAGCTGAGGACAAGAATTTCTCTTTGCCTCTCTCTTGCCAGGGGTTAGGAAGAACAAGAGGAGTAGGAGGAGGACCTAAGAGTTTATTTACATCATTAGATTCTATACCAGATTTGGCCCATCAGCTATTCTAAATTCTTAACTTTCAGGTAGCCCAAATTCTCCAACTTTCCCAGCCCCCCCCCTTTTTTTTCAATCACCTGCAATATAGCCATTTAAAAAGTTTTCAGAAGCCCCAGAACAGATAAGAAGCACATCCTAAGAATTCAGAAAAAAGACAGTAACGAGGGAAACTTCCTTTTCAAAGCAGGGGCAAGGTCTCCAACAAAGACAGCGAGAGAAGAGGGGAGAGACATATTGAAGCAAGAACAAGCTGATGATAAGTAGAACGAAGTGGGAATTTTATTTTGCTCTATGAGATTGTCTTTAGCAAGCTGAGGACAAGAATTTCTCTTTGCCTCTCTCTTGCCAGGGGTTAGGAAGAACAAGAGGAGTAGGAGGAGGACCTAGGTGTCGATCTGCGTGTGAAATGGAAAAGAAGGAGTCATAAATATGTATCTATTAACATCAGAATATCAGGAGGTTGATGCTGCCTTCCCTTTGGGGAGAATATAGAAAAGCAAAGGCAGGTGGGAGAGGGTCCTTCTGTCCTCTGACATAAGACTAAAGTCATTATCAGCTACTGCCACCATGACCACTGCACTGCCAACAGTTAGTGTCCTCTCCCTCTCCATGCTGAGCAGATGGGGGAGGCGGACCTAGATACTTCACATTAATTAATCCCATTTAATCCTCACACCAAAGCTCTGAGTTTCTATTTTACAGATGGAAAATGGAAGCTCAAAAACTTGTTCAAATTCACAAAGCTAGTAAGAGGTATTTTTCATTATTGTTTTTAAACCCCCCCCCCCCAATAGGGCATATGTGCTTGCCAGAGAGAGACAGTGAGAGGGAAAGTGAGAAATCACTCCCCAGTGGGGATGGCTGCATTGCAATCCCTTCTCCATTCTCTTCTTGGGATTTTGGGTACATATGTACATGTGCCTGGTGTGACTTCCAAGCCTCCAGGTCTGGGTCTTGAACTGCAATTGGCCACATGGGAATCCAGCACATTAACCATGACACCACCTGCTGCCCTACTAGTAAGAGTTTTAAAACCTCTGTGTGGGCCAGTAGGTGGCGTGGTGGTTAAGGCACTAGACACTAGCACGTGGCCAACCATGGTTCGGGTCCCAGACCTGGTGGCTTGCTTTCTCATTTTTCTTCTCTTTTTTGTGTCTTTCTCTGGTCAAATTAAAATAAAGAAATGAATAAATAGAATTAAATAAATAATTCTTTCCCCCCAAAAAGAAAAAAACATGTAGGAGAGAAGGAATTCAACAGAGGAAAAAGGTGTTGGTGTGCAGCAGATTTAGAAAACAACTCATACAGGTTGGAGCCACCATCTGAAAGAACTCTGAGAATGATGTTTCCAAGAAAATCAAGAAGCTAATGGATTTACACATATCCAGAGAGATTTAATTCTCTTAGAGAGGTTGGGAGGAACTAGTAATAAATACATAGAAAAATAAGTGAAAAGACAATGTAGTTACTAAATGCAAGATGATTAAAAAAAAAGAAACAGTTGTTGTACAAGAGAAAATACAACCATGGTACACTACATGGCTCTGCTGTGAATAATATTTATAAGTAAATAATGGAAATAGTGAAATACTGGGATATAACTTTTTTTCAGGAAACGAGTGAAAAGAATGTATGTGTGTTGAAGGGGAGCAAGTGTAAAAAATTTAAGTTCTAGTCTTCCATCACAGAAAATGTATAATCACTAAATCTGTAAAAACATCAATAACCGGGGGGCCGGCAGGTGGCATGGTGTTTAAGGCACTGGACTCCCATATGGCTGATTTGAGTGATTTGAGTCCCAGACCTGGCAGCTTGCTTTCTCACTTTTTCTATTTCTCTCTCAATTTGACTTTCTCTGGTCAAATTTTAAAAATCTGTAAGAATATAACTAACATAATAGAATTATAAATATAAGAACATAATTAACTGAATCAGCATGCATTTAGCAACCAGAGGTCATTACCAGAAAAAACAGCATAAAGAATGGACAGAGATTGCCTCTAAAGAGAAGTTGGAAGATGAACAAAGTGGGAATTCTCTCTCTTTTTCTAAAGAACTGTTAAACTAACTTGTGAATGTGTATTTTTGGAGTAAAATTAAAATAAAGTAAAAATTAAATTTAAAAGTCCAAATTCATTCTGAGTTAAAAACAAACAAGAACCCCCCACCCCCCCAAAAATAAGTAAAATAAACAAGGAAAAAAAGTCCACTAGAAATAGAAACTGAACACTAACAGGAAGGAAAGTAATAGAAAAATAAAAGGTTAGACTTGCATTAGGACCCTGCAGGGAAGCCCCTACAGCCCTGCCATGGAAGGCAAGTTCTTTCTTACAGGGAGGAGGATTACTTCCTGGGGTCAGAGATGTATTGACACATAGTTTAGAATATTTTTAGTTTTGGAGCCAACAGGCGGCACGGTGGTTAAGATGCTGGACTCCCACATGATTGACCTGGGTTTTTCAGTCCCGGACTAAGGGGCTTGAAACTCATGTAGGGCACGTGCACATACATGCCCATAATCCCAAGAGGAGAACGGAGAAGAAGGTGTTACGGCATGGCCATCGCCCCTGGGGGTGTGATTTCTTGCTTTCTGTCTCTCTGTCTTTCTGTCTCTCTGGGGAGTGCATGTGTCCCATAGTTTAAAAAAAATGTTTTTAAAAGAAAGAAAAGGATACTTTTAGTTACAATTGACATAAAACACAACTCTAAGTTGGGTTACACACACACAATAAGATTTCATATACTCATACAACTGAAGTACACAAAGGGAAGTTGGTCTTCGGATCCCATCCTACTAGAGTTTCTGTGAGTCTTCCTCTCCAGTTGTTAGCTTTGTCACATAGCTGAATCTCTCCATGGTAACAAATGTTGTGAGCAGCCTGGGACTACGTGCTTCTTTACCTGATGCCAGCAGATACAGGTTGTATGCTATCTAAATCATCTTTGAAACATCCTACACTTCATTTTGATTGGATCTACTGAGATTACACACCAACTCCTAAACTAAGGAAGATGGAATTTATTTGCATTATGTGGGATTTTATTATGAATTTGGTATGAATCTGTGGTATGCTTTCCTAGAACCAATGCCCATCCCCATTCACCCTTCAATCTATCCCAATCCAGTTTCTATTTCTCTTTCTTTGTTTTCAAATTTGACAGAGGTATGTGCACTCACCACAGAGAGAGAGAAGGAGAGTGAAAGAGAAAGAAAGTGAGAGAGCAGCTCCTATAAGGAATGGTCATGCCTCAATCCTTTCTTTTCCATATCGTCTTCCTTTCAGAATTTTGGGCACACGTGTATACCCTTCAGACATGTTTTTCAAGCCCCACTGGGTCTGGGACTCAAACTGCACAGCTGGCCACATGGGATTCAGTCACTTAACCACCACACCACAGGCTGGTCCAACTTCTTTTTCTAACACTACACTTGAAATGGCTTTGCCAAAGGCACCAACGACCACCATGTTGTAAAATGGTCCCTTCCTTAGTCTAAACTTACATGCTCTCTGTTGCATTAGACACAGTTGACCACTATTTATTGCTCTAACACTGTATTTTCTTGGGCTTTGTGTCACAACACTCTCTTGGTTTTTCTCCTACATCTCTGGCTACTCCTTCATGAGGCTTTGATTTAGATACCTGTGTGGGTGTTTTTAAAATCTATTCATCAGTGTGGATCACAGACTGAATGCAGTCTCGTTTACCTGAGACTTCACATATTGCTTACCTTTTAATCCCTATGTTGGCAGCTCTATGCTACCTGAGTTCACTCAGCTAGTAACCACAGGTCCTAGTGATAAAAACATACTCTCTTCAGATTTTATCACCACTGATTTGCCCTCTCTGTAAATGTGACTATTTTGGACTCAACTGTTTTGTCATACTAACCAATGTTTTGTTTTTTTTGTTTGTTTGTTTGTTTTTTTAATCTCTTCTGCTGTCTCTTCTTTTGCCATCAGTTTCCCCAGGCAATATTTATGCCTACTCAGACACACTGTTTTGTTGGCTAGAAGGCAAAGTAATTAAAAAGAATTTCATCTTCTCCAAAGACAGACTTTTAAGGAAAAGCTTTATAATTTTATTTGAAATGAACTTCCAAAATATGAGAACTACTATTCGATTCAATCCCAAGTTATTTTATTGAGTATTCACTGATTGTGTGTTAGGCACTGTGCTGGCCACCGTGGAATACAGAGGACTTAAACATCAAATAAAGAACTTAAGTGTGTATGCATAACACACCAAGAAGTGACTCGGGGTGATGGTATTATAAATGAGACACTGATGATGCACTAGCAGAGCACAAAGAAGCAAGAATTCTCATTCTGGAGATAGCTTTGTGGAAAATAAACTGTTTGGCTGAACCCTTAAAGAAAGAGTAGAATTTAGCAGGTTGAGACTGAGGCAGGGAAGGGCATTTCAGATGAGGGACATACATAAAGACCCAAACCAAATCGTTTTGGAAATTATGAGCATGTTGATATGAGCTGGTGGACATAGAGGTCCCTGGAAGGAGAGCAGCAGCACACAGACATATAAAGAGCAGGTTGAGTGAGATCATGGTAGATGAGCACATCATGCTAAGAATTTTACTGCAATTCAGGAGACACTGGGGAACCATGGAAGACTTC